CAAGACACATAGGACATCAGCAATGATATCTCTCATTCCACAGCCTCTTGTGAATCCAGCTTGAACCTCTGGAAGTTCTCTGTCAATGTATGCTTGTAGCCATTTTTGTATTACCTTTAGTAAAACTTTACTCGCATGGGATATCAAAGAGATTGTGTGATGGTTTCCGTATTCCACTGGGTCACCTCTCTTTGGAATGGGCACAAATATGGAACTCTTCCAATCAATCAGCCAGTGAGTTGTGTTCAAAATTTCTTGACAGAGATGAGTGAGTGCCTCTTGTGCCACCTCACTTTCTTGAAAGATTTTATATTTTATTCCATCAATTCCCAGTGTCTTGTTCTTTGCCAATTCCTTCAATATACCTTGAACTTCCTCCTTTAGTATCATTGACTCTTGATCATATGTTACCTCTTGAAATGGTTGAATATTAACCATTTCCTATTGGTACAGTGACTGTGTATTCCTTCCTTCTTTTATTGATGATTTCTGCATCATTCAATAATTTTCCCAGAGAATCGTTCAATAATAAATGTTGAGGGTTGACTTTTTTTCTTCAAGCCCCCCAGCTTAAGAAATGCTGAGCCTGTTCCTCCTTTTTGGTTTTCTGATTCCAGATATTTGCACATTTTTTGATAATATTTGGCTTTATCTTCCAGAGCTGATCTTTGAAATTTTCTGTTCAGCTCTTGGACCTTCTCATTTCTTCCATTTGCTTTAGCATCTCTACACTGGAGAGCAAGTTTCAATATCTCTTCACACATCCATTTTGATCTTTTCCTTCATTCCTGTCTTCTTAATGACTTTTTGCTTTCTTCAGGTATGATGTTCTGGATGTCATCCCACAACTCTTCTGGTCTTTGATCTTTAGTGTTTAATGTATAAAATCTGTTCTTCATACGATCTCTAAATTCAGGTGGAATATATTCAAGATCTCTAAATTCAGATGGGATATAGTTCAAGAAAGTGAGGCAGCACAAGAGGCACTCACTCATCTCTGCCAAGAAATTTGGAAGAAAACTGTCTGGCCGACTGATTGGAAGAGATCAATGATTATGCCATTCCAAAGAGAGGTGACCCAACAGAATGCGGAAATCATCGGAC